CCGCCCAGCCCAGCCGCAGGCAGGGGGAGGAGACGCAGGAGCCGGCCGAGCCTCCCGGCCTCCCTCACCCCCTGGCGCCGCAGCGCAGGAGCCGCGGGCTTGTGCAGAACATCGACCAGCTCTACTCGGGCGGCGGCAAGGTGGGCTACCTGATCTACGCGGGCGGCCGGAGGTTCCTCCTGGACCTAGAGCGGGATGGTTCGGTGGGCGCCGCTGGCTTTGTGCCCGCTGGAGGCGGGCCGAACGCGACCCGGCGCCACCGGGGCCACTGCTTCTACCGGGGCACGGTGGACGGCAGCCTCCGCTCTCTGGCTGTCTTTGACCTCTGCGGTGGTCTCGACGGCTTCTTCGCGGTCAAGCACGCGCGCTACATCCTAAAGCCGCTGCTGCGCGCGCCCTGGGCGGAGGCGGAGGCCGGGCGCGTGTACGGGGACGGGTCCGCGCGGATCCTGCACGTCTACACCCGCGAGGGCTTCAGCTTTGAGGCCCTGCCGCCTCGCACCAGCTGCGAGACCCCCACGTCCCCGCCAGGGCCCCGTGAGCACCCCCCGGCGCACAGGAGCCCGGACCGACGCTGGGCGCTGGCCCCGCAGCTCCCGGACCAGTCAGCTCCCTTGTCCGATGGGAGTCAGAGACCACAGACGTGGTGGCGGCGGCGGCGGCGCCGCTCCGTCTCCCGGGCCCGCCAGGTGGAGCTGCTCCTGGTGGCCGACGCGTCCATGGCGCGGATGTACGGCCAGGGCCTGCAGCATTACCTCCTGACCCTGGCCTCCATCGCCAACAAGCTGTACAGTCACGCCAGCATCGAGAACCACATCCGCCTGGTCGTGGTGAAGGTGGTGGTGCTGGGCGACAAAGACAAGAGCCTAGAAGTGAGCAAGAACGCGGCCGCCACGCTCAAGAACTTTTGCAAATGGCAGCACCAGCACAACCAGCTGGGGGCTGACCACGAGGAACACTACGACGCGGCCATCCTGTTTACTCGGGAGGTAGGTCCCGCCTGGGGGAGTGGTTCAAGCCCCGGCGTACGGAGGTAGGTAAACGGGACAGCCTTGTTGACAGCCTTGTTTCTCCCACAAACCGCATGCCCCATGGGTTTGCTTCCCTGCTTCTTGCAGGAAACCCAGCCAGCCTCTAGCTCTGCTCCCGTATTCGGGATAGAGCCGGAGCAATTGAAGCCTTAAATGACCAAGACCTGCTCACACAATCAGTCCAACAGGCAGGATGTCTCCGGTCTGAGATACGCAGTCATAGATGGGTAAATATGGTAAAATGGAGCTAGAATGCTTGGGGAAATGTGCGTCGTTAAATGAGAAAAGGGGGAAAGCAAGTTTGCCTTTGGAATCAGGGATCATCTACTTTCCAGTGAACCCAAAGATATAACTTTGTCTAACCTAATGGCAAGGGCTGATGATTCATTCACTGTAGTCACTTTTATCCACCATCTTCCTTTGTAAACGTCCATACCTTCTTACTTGAACCCCTTTCAAGACATAAGTCAGGGGAAGGCTTTCCAAAGGAAGGACTTATTTTCCAGTCTGGCTTCCTAATGGAGTTCTTACATACCCAGCTTGGTGAAATCTTGCTTCCTTGGATGGAAGGGATTGGGGATGGCCAGGAGGATATAGAAACCCAATCTTGTGAGGTTCCTTAGCAACTCCTTTGCTTGGTCCTCCAATGCACGGCAAGAACTGCTCCGGGCTCCACAGCTGCCAGTCAAGGGTCACATCCAGCTTGCATGTTTGGGTTTTGGATGAAAGTTTCTGAAGCCCCAGTGCGGAAAGATCTGGGCAAAGAGTCAAGACATGAAGGAATGTTTTCCCAGGATTTCCCTCTTTTAAGGAAGGGGGTTACAGGAAGGGAAAAAATACTGATCTTTATAGGCCCAGAGGTTCTGGGAGGAACACAATACCTATGTAGCCCGCCACAAAAGTGTGACATTCAGATAGAGTCTGGACTGGTTTTGAGCTTGTTTTGCTCAGAGCTTTGAGCCTCAGTTTTCACAGCTCTACTCTGATTGGCGGTTTTGAGTCATGCTTTCAGATGCCTGGTAAGAATGAACTTTGAAAGCTCGTTCTTTAAGTGTTTGAGATCCATCCAGGATAGAGAGAAGGATTAGAAGCTTTGAAATATTATGCAAAATCATGGTGCAAAGGGAACAACCAGAACTAGGACAGGAAATTCAATGATGGCTTGCAGGAGGTTTCAGAATCACATAGCTCCACCACCTAATTCTCCTATTTTTACTAAGGCACCTCTGGTATGAAGGAAAAGTGTTGATAAATTTGGAGTGGAGAAACACTTGTGGTTCACGGGGTGGACACAGATGTAAACCACATGTAAATAAAGATGCCAGAGGGCAGCAGTTTAGGGAGAAGTGGGCGACGCACAGTGCTTTGCACAATGGAAAACCTTTCTCTTCATGAAGTGATCTCCTGGAAACCATCCTTTAATTTTTCCGCACAACATTGGTCTTTAAAACGGAAGAAGATTCAGTTTTGTAGCCTTCCATATGAAGTGAAGTTCTCCTGTAAAACTATCCCTTTTTTATTTGGTTTCCAAGTCTTTGTTTTTCTTTCTTTCTTTTTTTGGTTCACAACTTTCCATGTCTGGATTTCTTGCTTTGCTACATCACTAGGGGCTGCCAAGGAGGCTTCAGAGAGTTTATGGAAGGAAGTTCTCTAAAGACTGAAGAAAAAATACTTTTGTAGGCATACTACTGCAAAGTGTTCACTTTGAACATTTTCACGGTTCACTTTCATTTTTGAATAAAAATGCACATTCCATAAACATTAATAGAAGACCCCAATACTCCCTATTTCCTGCCCCATAATTTTCCTAATTGCTTCTTAGAAAAAAAGGAAAACTAGTCAGTGATTCAAAGTGATCTGTCTGTTGCTTTTCCTGGATTTGTTTTTTGTTTGGGTAGTTAATGATTCCTATTTTCCAAGCTTTGAAATATATCAGTTCCTTTAAATAGATAAAGCAAGGGGGAAATAAGTTAACATCTATCTTAATTTTAATAAGTATTATAAGAACATTCATTTTTCAAACTAGTCTACACATGGAAAATATTTTACATGGGCCCTCCCTGGCCTCCTTGCCAAGCAGAAGCATACTTTTAGTAAAATAAATCTCATTTAGTTTGTGGTTGGCCCTCTGGTATATACATCTAACTTGATGAGAACCAAATATTTGAAGAGCATATTATTATGAATGTGTGCACCTAATTTTAAAAGCACAATTAATTAGGGGGCTGCGGAAAATATTACAAGACTCATGTAGCATTCATTTGAGAGTACTTTAAAATATAATGTTAAACTCCGCCTAATACTTCAGAATGTGGAAACCAAGAGAGCTAGAGGAGAAATGATCTGAGATCTTCAGTTTCATGGAAATCAGATATCTAGGACCTAAAGAAAAACTTTCATGGCTAATTTTTTTCAATGAGAAATACCCGGAGTTGGCACCAGGATCTACTTTTACATCTCTGTTTTGAATGTAAGAGGTACGTTGCTTAGCAGCCAGACGCCAAGCCATGAAATCCATATTTTGATGGGCTCTGAGCACTGTTCAAATTCTGTATCCAGATGTCTTCTCCTAAATTGCTTGTTTTTCAGGCATGAAGCAAATGTGTGAGGATGTTTTCCACCCATGTTGACTAGCCGAGGGCACCTTGAGTGTTATGTCTAGGAATCAGCAGAATAGTGCTAGTAATTCATTTATCAAAGTAACAGGCTTCACTGTCAGGACTGTACCCCAGCACAAGGCGCTGTCCTAATTAGGGAAATATAGCACCAGTCACTTTTTTGCAAGAGGAGCCATTTTCATTCCAGAATGGCACTTAGGCTGGAATTCATACCACTTCTACCATCAAACAGTAGAAACCTGATCTCCCCAGGACTTATGTTTGCTTTCCAGAATCCTCTTCTGGTTCCTGGCTTCCTCTTTTCTTTTAAGATAGTTTCCTTAAAGGCACACTCCTAAATCCATTTTGGAGATGATGCACTCTCCTTTAGAAACGAAACACCTACCTGCTTGAGAAAAAAAGTGGGAAATTGTTTAACATTCCCTGTCTATGACCATACCACCCTGAACATGCCCGACCTCATCTGTTTAACATTCCCTCACCCCTGCACAACATTAATGAAAGCTTTACTTTTTCATGGCTTGAAAGCATTGGATTGAAACTGAACCAGCTACGAGACTATATAATAAAAAAGGTTCATTCATTTTTCATTAATCATCAGTGTGCCAGTTAACAGGCAATTGTGTGTCAGCTAACACCTCACTTCTATATTCTGCCTTATTTTTTTTTAATTTTTATTTTGTATTGGAGTATAGTTGATTAACAATGTTGTGTTAGTTTCAGGTGTATAGCAAAGTGATTCAGTTATACATATACATGTATCTATTGTTTTTCAAATTCTTTTCCCATTTAGGCCATTACAGAGTACTGAACAGAGTTCCCTGTGCTATACAGTAGGTCCCTATTGGTTATGTATTTTAAATATAGCAGTGTGTACATGTCAATCCCAAACTCCTAATCTGCATTCTGCCTTATAATGTTGTGGTGGGGACTCCACCCAGAATTAACAGCTGGCTCCTTGCAAGGTTATGACAATAGGGGGCCCTAGAGGAAGACTGGAAGCTTGAAAGAAGGAAACAGCTGTGCTTTTTCTTATTTGCTTGTAGACTGGATCGACTATTTCAATCACATATTTGAGTTCAAATCCCATTTAAATTCAAAAGCAAGCCCTTATCAAAAGATCATAGCCGATAGGTCAATTCTAACCAATAGAAGGCTAAATATCTAAGAAATGGGAAGACTGGGAGCAGATTCAGCAGCTCAAGTTGACATTTTAAAAATAAATTGTGGGGCTTCCCTGGTGGCGCAGTGGTTGAGGGTCCACCTGCCGATGCAGGGGACACGGGATCGTGCCCCAGTCCGGGAAGATCCCACATGCCGTGGAGAGGCTGGGCCCGTGAGCCATGGCCGCTGGGCCTGTGTGTCCGGAGCCTGTGCTCCACAACGGGAGAGGCCACAGCAGTGAGAGGCCCGCGTACCACAAAAAAATATATATATAATAATAAATTGTGAATTGAAAATTGCCGAGAGTAGGTCTTAAAAGTTTGCATCACCAGAAAAAAATTTTAACTATGTGTGTGATGGATGTTAACTAGACTTACTGTGGTGATCAGGTTGCAATATATACATATATTGAATCATTATGTTTTACACCTAAAACTAATATAATGTTGTAAGTAAATTATATCTAAATTAATTGTGAAGAATATTATGTAAAATCTGAGGTCTATTAGATGAGAGACAGTAAACCACAGCACACAGGACATATTGTCTTCCTCACTTTCAGCACCTGCCTCTGGGCATCCCCTAAGTGTGAGACACTCATTTAGGGAGCTGAAAGCAGCGAGATGGAAAGTACCTGGTCCCTGCCCAGCCCAGCTTATCACAAGGGGAGAGGAAGCAGATATATGCATAAATCAGCTAATGTTAGGAAAACTCTAATAAATGCTGTAACTAAGCTATAAACAAAGGCTTAGAAAGGAAAAAGGAAGGAAGAATCAATTCTGCCTCTGTATCTTTATACAGGCTTCATTGTAAATGTAGAATTGAATTGGTCCTCGAAGGATGGACAGATTTGATTTGGATTCAACCACCTTTTATTGAGCATTTCATAAGATGCTACCCATAGTCATAAACCATTTTATAATTAATCCTTTCAACGGTCTACAGCCATAGTGACATTATCATAAGTTGACAGATAAGGACATTCATACAAAGAGAAACAGAGATAAACTTCTCAGAGTGACAGCTGACAGGTGGCTGAGAGGGAAGTTCGTCCTGTCTAGTGGTCTCTAAAATAAAAATATTACAGCAAATTTATTCAAACATTCAATATGTTTCTAATAGGCAAAGAGGGATGAAGAGCTTTGAAAAGTAGCCCCTTTCTGAAGAACCTATTCT